CAATGCAAACGGGGGTCAGTCAGAGCGCCGGATCTTGCAGGATCCTGCAGAGCCAGGGCTGCACCGACCCGAGCTTGGTGCAGGATCCTGCCAGGCCTGACTGACCCGGGTCTGGATTGATCCGGGCAAGAAGACCCTCGACCCCTTAGATTCCCCAGCACGTACCTATAGCCTGGACCCCAATGTTGTGTTATTTGCAATGGCGCCCGTCACTGGCCCCTCCCTCCCCCCCGCTCCCTGCCTGGCAACGTCAGGATTTGCGCCGGCGCCGTGTGGGATCCAGCCATCTTAGGTGTTCGCTCATGGACACCTCGCTACAGGGAAGCATCCAGTTTTCACGCCGAAGACCGCGGGAAACCGCCGAAGACCGCGGGAAGCCACCGAGGACCGCCGAAGACAGCCGAAGACCGCAGCAAGACCGCCGAAGACCGCCCGGGACAGATGGGGCAACGAGGGGTCCGTGGTCGAATGCATAATAGGCCATTCCTGGGGATCAGACGGCGCAGGCGCGAATCTCGGATCGGCGCCGGCGCGCTGGGCTCCGAAGCGCCAGTCGCGGCGCGGTGCGCTACGGCGGGCCCCGTGCAGATGGCTCACGGGCCTCCGGCCCCCACCGGGGGCGTGGTCCAAGCCTCTCCCGGAGGGTTCGAGCAGATGTCGGCGGCGAGATCCGAAGCAGGCCCTCGCCGATCATCGATGCAGGCAGTTCGATGGGCGGCGAGGGCAGGGCTCAGAATTCGCCGGACACGTGGCGCAATCCGACCGAACCCCACCCCCGCCTCCCATCGGTGCAAGAGAATCGACGGTTGGTGGGGGTATGGTTCGGATGCCACCAGTTCAGATTGGCTCGAAGGATCGCGCCGCATCGCCGATGCATCGGCGATGCGGCTGAGGGCGCACCCGATTTTCTCCGCGTCTACGTCGACGATGCAGCGCCGACGTCGCCGACGCATCGGCGAGATGTATCGACGATGTGGTGGGGTCCTCCGACCCCATGTACTCGGACCCATCCTGAGAGGCCTCTACAGAGTGCTTCCCAGAAGGCCAGAGTGCTGCTCAGAAGCCCCGTCGCCTTCTGAGATGGCCTGCCACCTCTCACTCCCCTCTCGGGCGCCGCCGAAAAAAAACATACGTACCCATCGTTCGGTTGTACGCTTTTCGGATTCCAATGTACCTTTGGCGCCATCCACCATCCAGAGCCGAATCTTTTTTCCCCTGTTCCTTCCTCTTCCGGGGGCAGGCGGAGGAAGCCCAATACGTACATGTTCAGGGTCTTCGTGCTCTGTACTCGACCCCCTTCTTCCGAACAATGGGTGGCCATGACTTTTCGAAGGACCGCGCGCACTTCTCGGGTCGGGTCGTCGCTGCCCCCCCTCCCCCGGGGCTGCGCCTCCGGCGCCGACCTTGGCGCGCTCCGCGCGCCTGCTGAGGGAAAGGGGGGTGCATCGCCGGCCTAGGAAGTCCGCGCGGGCCTCCGAGAATTGTCACGCGCATGCCTTTTTCGTTGCCCTTCCAGGACTCGGACACCAGCCCCGACGTATGGGAGGACCGCTCGCTCGGTCGGCGATCCGATCGGGGGCCGGGGGTCCTCGGCGTCGTCGGCCTGGAGGCTTTTAGGCCCTTCCGGAAGGTATCGGGGCCATGGCCGGGCGCAGCTCGAAAGATTGGACACGAGGTTTTGCCTTGCTTTCGGGCTCCCAGGGCCCGATGTATGTACCCCATCTAGGAGGCCTCTACGAAGGGGGGCCCGTTCTGAGCCTGGCGGGTGGCACGCGGCTGAGTGCATTTGGCAGCCGGCGGCCTGATCTTGGAGACGCAGTGCTGTGGACTTCGGTTGGTGCTTCGCGTGTTCCCTTCGCTCCCCTTTCCCACCCCCTCCAGACGTTGCGCTGGAACGAAACGATGGAGGGGGGCCGGTTCTGGGTGAGTTTGTGGGCGGGGGGGGCAGAGTCGAGGACCGAAGCTCGGGCGGGGAGGGGTCCTGGGGCCCTCCCGGGCCTCGTGGGCCCAGCGCCCGCGACCGCGGCTGGGTCCGCCTCGAAGCTTCTGGCAGGACGCGCCCCGGGGCTCGGGAGCGGTAGAATATTACGACACCATGGCGAGGATAGAATCGGGCGAGGATAAATCGAGCATCTCTGAAATCCGGCGGTTCTGGAGGATGTCTCGGGCGCCGCGCCCCTGGGGCTGTGCCCCAGCACCAGCTTTTCATCCTGCGTTGCCTTGTCTACACCAAGACGAAGCCAAGACGAGGATAAATTCGGGTAAGGATTAATCGAGAATATATGAGATCCGGCGGCTTTGCAGGATGTATCGGGCGACGCGGCCTTCTCATAGTGTTCCGGAAAGTTCTGAGAGCGCTCTGGAAAGCTCTGGAACGGATTTATCCTCGTCTCAGCCCCGTCCGATAAAAGGGGTCTCGGCGGCACGCATGTCGTTTCTCAAATCGTGTTGTTACGGCAGGTTCGCATCGTGTCGACCGGCGGCGAGCCCCCGCCGCTGG